CATAGAAAACATAGAAAACATAGAAAACATAGAAAACATAGAAAACATAGAAAACATAGAAAACATAGAAAACATAGAAAACATAGAAAACATAGAAAACATAGACAACATAGACAACATACAAGGCTCATCCGCAATGTTCGCCTGGTTGACCTTGGCCGCGGCGCCGTTACTCGCACCGCCCGATCGTTTCGACATCCTTTCTTTTTTATCCTTTACTCTAGTAGCTAGTAGCAGCACAAAGTCCCTTCGCTCCGTTTCCCTATCCAGTGTAGGTATAAAAGCCCGTGGGAAGCTTTTATTATCCTATTGCGAAACCGCGTATCTATCTAGCTGCTTTCCTTCACCGAATCTTCGTTGCGAGAAGCCGACAGCGTAGAAATAATCTGGGATAGCTCAGGAATAAAGCTATAAAGCACGGCAATGATCGATTTACGTGGGTATCGACAACGACGAGGTGATGACTGTTTGCTGTTTGAGAAGAAATAATAAGTTGAGGTTGTCAGAAATCTTGGCAGTGGAAAATAGGCAACTTTTGAATCATATGGGCTTTAAGTTTTTTTATTGCTTCGGGGCAGGCGCAGCATCATTGATGCCGTCATTTGGACACGTTCAGGTCCCGCTAGTCTCTCTTGGGACAAGTGGCTTCCGCCCCGGGGAGGAATAGCGAGCTCATTGGAACCGGCTCCTTGTTGAGGTATCTTTGTGCTACATGGAATTTACACACATGGAGTTACATAAACTACATGTAAGAAGGTACATAGCACTAGACCTACATCACTTTAGGTAATCAGCTACATTTGTTCTAAGCTTCAACTATACCTAACAGGCCTACTGCCAGGTACGTACCTACAATATCTAAATGTACCCAAGGTAGCATGGAACAAAACATGATGTATTGGCAGGACTAATAATTACTCGAGTTTGCTATTGACTCGGTTCGAAAAGGAGATAGCTAATTGTTAATTGGCCATGTAACCTCCGCCATTCACGACCCAACACGACACATCTTTCGAATGGCTCTCTTAGAAGCAGAGCACCTTATTAGTCCCCGGGGTTACTGACTGCCTACCTATGTACAATGATTCGGCAGCAGCCCCGTCATCTCCGCTCCTGTCCCTGTCCCTGTCCCATCTTCGACCCTTTACCCAGCTTGACTAATGAAGGTCTTGTATAAATACTTATTATTTCGCGAGACAACGTCCCCTGCGTGTCTCTCGCCTTTGTATGCCTGGAATTGTCCAAATAACTAGCTCGGCCATGGTCCATAAACCCAACCGTCTTGCGCACACCAGAATGGTACTGGATAACCCAGCCGTCTTACGCTCACTGAATCAGGTCCAGTCCTCCCTTTGAACGCAGTAATTATGTATGTTTAATGCGAAACGAAGAAACAAAGAGGCTAGGTCGCGAATCCTGTATATGCCCGGGGATATAATGCTACGACAAAACGAATATGCAGATGTGGGAATCCGTCCAACCTACCGTAGGAGGGTTCCCATAGGGATAGGTCGGTATTCTATCTCTAGCGGACACAGCCTATTCTATGTCATCACCTCCTAATATCCGAGGAGGTCCTGTATTAAGTACTGTGGTTACCGAGCGATAATAACTGAGAAGCCGTCGATCCAGGCCGCGCATGACCCAGAAACGCCACAGATCGTGTAGCCGCGCGGTGGGAGGAGAGTATGCCTAATTCTTATCGTCAGCAATTTTATTTAGATGTTAAAGAGCTATATAAAACATACGGAGAGCCACCATGCGCATTGCCGTAAATTGGCGATTTTCTCCCGAGACTTGTAAGGATCTGGATACCGTCTATCCACTGTCCTGATCGTACGAAGAAGCCGGTAATATACTCGCCACGGCGGATATCTAGAACAAAATCAGAATTAGGGACCAACGGTGAGGGAATATACTATAGCCTACCCATTTCAAACTTGTCGCCGCCAGGTTTACCCCCACGCTTTCCAAACAACTGGCTAGATTCATCGTCGTAGAAAAATTCAATACCATCCAAAGCAAACCCGTGATAGACCACAACGCGGGATAGCACTCGGGTTTTCTGTGTTGCGCTTGTAAAAACCAATTCTTGCGGTTGACTTCCCTCCATTTGCGAGAAGCCGAGTTTGTCGCTACGATAGGCCGATTTACCGAAAGACAGCTTTAGAGAAGATGATTTCGAGCATAGGCTATGAAAGTCGTTGATATCGAGGTTTCCACCGCCATGCGATTTGATGCAGACCTTCATCTTCGAACGTCGTTTATTCTCGGGTAGTCTGTCGCGGAGCTCTTGTTCTGTAAGAGTTAGGTTACGTTGTACGGAGCCGTTTTCTATCGGATATTCGATCCATGTATGGCATAAGTCGTCGCCCTCCGGATAGATTTCTATAAACGAAACTCCCGTGGCTGCGGTGATTTGGACATGTCCATTCTCAACCGGCCAGGCCTGAACGCTTGCGTCGGAGTTCAAGATGGGATCATTAGGTAGCTTAAAGCAAGGGTGACTGCGGAATCGAAGGCAATCAAGACGGTGCCAGGTACATTCGTCAGCTTGAGATACGGGTCCTCCCTTCGACTTGGTCCGGGTAGAATAAGCCTCCCGAGATACAAATGAACGGTTCAACTTGACATAGTCTCTTAGCATGACCCCGCTCTCCTGATGCGGACATCCGAAAAGGTGGCCGGTTTCGTGAAGATGGGCGCCGATGCCAATATTGGCAGCTTCCCATGAGCTTCCGGACTCGTTACAGTCATTTGCAACATATTTAGTGTCAGTAGGTGTGCAGTCGGTAAACGCTGGTACGACCTCTTCGAAACTTGTAGGGTAACTCTGTAAACAGTGAGAGCCAAAAATGGCCATGTGTAAGTCACCAGCATTCCCTCCTAACGCTGCATGACCCGTGATGACCTTCGAATCCGTATCCCAGTGAGCGTCTAGAAGTAACACTGAAACATGTTGTGTTTGCCCTGGGAGAGGCTTGAAGTAATTCTTAAGCGCGTCAGCAGCAATGCCATAAAGGTCACCTTTTTTAGTCGCCTTAGGATTCTGTTGTGCCAGGTCAAGGTCCCTGATCTCGGCTAGGGTCTTATCTGATCGAATAACGTGAATACGCGCTTCTGATCGCATCGCGCCCGTTTCTCTATCCCGATAGTTGCAAGTGCCTGTTGTCCATTCCTCTTCAAACCTGAACACCCGTCGGCCGAATTTATTTCTCCACATCTGCTCAGCGGTAAATGCTTGCCAGAGGTAAGCAGCCATACGGAATTTACGAACGGCTGCATCGATATCATTTCCTTCCTTCTCAATCCGAGCTGGGACAGCATCAAACGTGCCGGGAGAGTCCTTCGCGAGTAAGATGGCAAGATGTAATGGCGGCGAGTTCATAGGAGGGACCATGTGCACGGTGATATAGGACGAATGTATCGGGTTTGAAGAACCGCTGTTTGCGAGTTTGGGGCTCGAGAAGTCGAGACGTAATTTGTTTGCGCCGGGCATGAGATATACCAACGCTTTGAACTGCGACTCACAAACCGGCCAGAACGTAGGTGGGAATCCATCGTCTAGTCTGCAAATTGTAACAGTCCCTTCCGGTGCCCGTTGACCTGCTTCCCCAATCATACCATTGATAAGAAGAATTTTCTGCGAGACCTGCTTTTTAATCAGCATAAATATATATAAAACAACACCCGAACTGGAATTCTGTTTGATTCTGCTAATTAACGGGTTCAAAAACGCTCAACGGCATTTTAGTTTTAAACAAATGAAATTTTCACCATACCCAGGTATTCTCCCCAATGTTAGTAATTCGAGGAGCATACTGCGACACGGGTAGTGAGGATTTGCCGTTGAGCACAGGGGATCCCAACCCAGCCATCCCCGATACACTATATCGGTTGAAATTGGGCTGAGGTGGTGGCCTATTAGGTGGGATTGGAGGAGGTTGTTGCTGGTCCTTAGATTGCGTGGGAAATCCTGGATCAGACTGGGCTGTTATCGAAGGAGGAGTGACAGAACCGTTGGTGGGAGTTGTGTTCTGACTCTGGTGTTCGTCGTAGCTTGAACCGTCAGTAGAACGATCGGTACGGAAACTAGCTCGCGATCGTCTTCGAAATTCCTTGAAGGTTAAGAAAGAGGGCGCCATGACTGGCAGCTTAACCTCAGTGACCGCCGTATAAAACAATCAGGAGATGCCAATTGACACAGGCCAAATCTTAGTAACGGATCTTTATCTCGTCGGTCGGTACAGCTAGTTGAACTGTCAAGGTAGTCTTGTCGGAACTATTTTGATAAAGGGGAAGCAGACAGACGCAGTCAGGCTAACAGGTAACGAAAGCTAGTAAGCTTCTCTGGAGCGAACGAACAAGCTAGTCAAGTTGATTAAAGTAGGAAGAAAAGAAGGTATGTCCAAATATTCACTCGGAGGAGGTAATGAAGCGAACGTTGCGTGGCTGAGCGAGATAAAAACGATGGTGGAATGTAGATAGATCATCAAGGATAGGCTATTGTGACGGACATTAAGAGCTTGGACTTTTGACGATCAAAGAAGAGAAGTTAGGTACAATTAGCCTGGCTCTATTAGAACTATTCTTTTCAAACGTCCATGGGTATAAAAAAATAGGTGAGTTGAACGTATCTTCTGCCAACTCTTGCGACAGAAAATAAGTTGTTTCTAGTTGTAGGGCCGATTACTTGACCACCCGTATCCTGGTGTAGAACAACAGGCGGGCTAGTTGTGTACAGGAGTCTATGTTAAATGTAGGAGGTAGGTAGGTAGGTAGGTAGGTAGGTAGGTAGGTAGGTAGGTAGGTAGTCAGCTAGATTGGATAGGCGATCATTTAGCGATCATTAGCGATCATAGCTTTGTAGATTGTAGATTGTGGATTGACATGTGTGCGTCCGCGGGAGGGAAACGGGCGGGATGTTGACGAATTGACGAATGATGATGACGTCGCGGCTGATAAGTGGGTAAGTTGAATACTGGTTTGGTGCAGATTAAAGTGGGTTATGAAACTAGTGGGATTATCTTTACTCCCTGCATGTTGGAATTGCATTGAATTTGCGTCGGTCCATACCTTCCCAGGACGGCCGCTTGGCCTATTTGGAAGTTGAAAAACTTGGATACGAGAAGTTGCTAACCAAGAACCACTGGATCAGGCCGTAACTTCCATGTATCGGTAACCATAATGTTACATTTCATATGTACATACCTATGTATGTTTATGTTAGATACGTATTTCATACATAAACGTACACCCATCCACACCCATCCACACCCATCCACACCCATCCACATCAACAATAGACTGACTACATGTACCTACCTACCTAACGTCAGCTACCTACATAAAAAGAAGAAAAAAGAAAAGATAATAAAACGTTGAGATGGCATTAGCCGACACGTGTACCTACGTCTCCGGATATTGATATATATAAGCAGCCACGATGCATGCCTCGAGCTAGAAAATTGGAGGTTTTCGGGACCCTTCGGACTGTGCTACCCGTAGATAGGTAAGTAGCACAGTACACTAATGCGCATGTTGGTGAACAAGGTCTGCTTGGAAAAGCCGGGCCAAGGTTGCAGTGCGTTACAAGGATGTCGATATAATATACTCTAATAGTATCAGTTTTTATCTAGTTAGTTAGTGAGCGATAGGACAAGTTTTGGTTTCCTCCAATCTATCATCACGAACGATAACCAAGGCCTCTAAACCTAGATCACTATAAGCTATTTGTTTATATGAAAGCGACAGATTCAATCAATTAGTCGTCGGATGTTTTGATGTATGGTAAAGTATCACAGATCTCCGGATCGAAATGCGAACTACAGCGATTGATGGAATGACTATCTTGTGCGCAGTAACACTTAGAATAACACCTTGTAGCGTAGTTCTATACGGCGGTAGGTTTTGATGGGTTACAGCTGCAAAATGCACATCGTATAAGATGAGGCGGGTTAGCGGTTACGAAGGCAAGAAACCGTTTAATATAAGGGTTATACAGCTTTGCTAATTGCGTGACCCATCGTTTTGATTCGCAATGATTCTGCCATTGTAACGGAGAGCCTTTATTTGAAACCAAGATATAAATTGATCTGTAGTTGCTATCGCGAAGCCAAGAGGCCATTAGAATAAAAGGAGACTACCTACCTACATAGTATAGACTTTAAAAGGTAGTACATACCTAGTTCGTATGCAATAATCAAGTATTCGACCCTATAAACAGACAGCATCAATCCGATTGAAGCTTCGGTGTTCCGCATCAGGTGCTTGTCCGGCCCGGCCCGGCCCGGCATAACTCAATCTTGTAAGGTTGCCTTTCACATAGCATCTCATATCCGTATGCCAATTCTTAATGTAATAGTTGATTTCTTATTGCACTTTTTTTTTTTTTTTTTTTTTGAAGTTGATACTCGTTCAAAGTAGAAACTCAGTCGTTCTCCCCAATGATAAGCACCCGATATTTTGGGCTCTAAATGGAGTAGTTATACTATAAGTATACTATAAGTTCCCCATGATCTCCGTGATCAACATAGCTGCATGTCCGTGTCATGTTTGCATTCCGGCCTTACGATGTAACCAATTAGTCGAGTTGGAGACGAATGCGTTTCGTCCGACGAAATCTCGTATTCTCTCTATTCTACCGCCTCAACCTATGGTGAGTTTGCACTAGTTATCGTATCAAGACTCAAGAGTTCGTATCATGCGTTGGCTATTCAACTTGACGATGCAAGATACGAAGTTTTCCATTTCCTCGAATACTTAAAGTCTCTCTACACAGCTTCTTTTTATATAGTTACAGACTTTAGCAAGTAAACATATTGCTCCTTTACAATCATTCAAGACTCCTGCTTATAACACCAGCGCAAAACTAAGCCCGTTCGACGGCTAAGCCAAGTGTTTGATCAACAGAAAGACCCTTTTGAGTTGATGTGAGACAACAGGAAAGACAACAGGACAACAGGACAACAGAGAGCAAAGCAAGCTTTAAGACGCTCTGGACGCTTTTAAGTGCTTGCAGCAAAATGCGGGTTTGGCACGTTTTCGTAGCATTTAGTCTCACTTTTGTCCGACAGGGGTTTAAATTGGCTGCCATTTTCGGATGAGCGGTCGCATGCCACGAAGCTCTTCGTCTCCTATAATTCTACGAGATCAGACCATGATAAAAGCTCGGCCATTATCTTGGAATTTCCCTTCTTAATCTTTTCCCTCCTTGAAACCCAGGCACGGAAGTTTTCGTATGGGTCTTTGATAAGAATAGGAGAGCCTTATGACATCGACATACCCAACAAAAAGGGGTCTCGAAATCTCACATAAAATGCTTTTTTACTAAGACAGTATCGTAGATCCCGCCATATCGAGTCTGCATATGTTTTATTGACAGATATCAAGGTAACCCGGCAACTGGTCGTACCTGTTGCGCAAATAGGGATGCTACTAAGAAATGTGATGTCTAGAGGACGTTACTGTATTCGTCTGTTATCCCATTCCGACCAACTTATAGCAAAATTGTCTACATGAAGCTTTTCCTGTTTGTTGTTGGTGAATACGTATGTTAGCCTTGAGTGTTTCCCATCGTCCCCTTTAAGTTTCACTTTACCTGTTTAAACCCAAACAAAGGCTCTGCTCAATATTCTGCTGAGAAGACAAGCGCGGACAAACGCCAGCGAGCTTGTCCATAGGCTCACAGCATAAACGCTAGCCTACCTAGGCATGCTGGCATGTACTTGTTCGCAGGCCACCTGCAGCCTACCAGGCTGTCGCAGAAATAATTGGTTGTAAAAATTACATCCTAGTCGCTTAGAAGTAATCATATTGGCTTACATATAATATCTAACCGGTAGATTAGTGGTCACAATAAACCCCCTAAAGACGTAGCTTACCGTGCGGTGGACGCTGCATCAGTACATCGGTGCATCTGGCCCTATGAGATTCCGGATTTGCGCTGAAAGTTAATGACCCAACAGTGAGCTCATCCAAGGCAGCCATGGCCATGGGGGTATCCTACACTAGCTCCTTTCACTTGGAAATCAAGGGAAGCTGAGCTCGGGCTTTAAGACTTCCTAATTTCCAATATTGCATCAGCCGGTTTCTACGGGGAAGGAATGCAGCAACAATGTTAGCCCAAGTTAGCCCAAGTTAGCCCTGTCCAGGTTAGCCTAGCTACATAGTATGTACATGTAGCATAACTGGCTTATGTAGTCAAGCACTTTAAGCAACAAGTACCGTTGCTCTGTACCTTATGTAGACGGAACTAATTATTAGAACTAATCGCCCTTTCCTAACTTTTTAGTGCAATGCCTATTTTCCTTGCGGGTACCGTATCCCAAGATCGTACCTCCGCCAACATGAACTAATTGACTTTTTCCTTACACACTTCCTACGTACTGCCTCACTGTCGTCGTTCATTACACATTACATATTACGTTACCACAGTATACAAAAACTATACTTTCCAGTTCTTCTTCGTCCCCCAGACTTTTTTCTTCACTGTACATATCGACTTCGAGAGTTATCATAATAAAATTTGAGACTCAGACGAATCGGTATACTAATAATACCTAATTCCATTCGTTCACGTTCATCCAAACCGTACATACCTATCAACATCCTCGACCCTTCCGAAGCAACCATTAACCCCCTATCGCTTACACCAGCAAGCGCCTGGCCTACAAGTCGACCCAATCATCCTTACTCCCCGCAATATTTTCTCGACAATCACTCGACAAACGTCACTTTCCACTCAGGGGGGGAAATCCAGAGAGAAAAAAAAAGTTTACGCCTGGTCCAAGCAAAATAGCATGTCGTCGCCGTTGAAGAAGCAGCCTGAGGCTGTAGCAGATAAAGTTCTCAAGCGAGTGGAAGTTAGCAAGGTATGTTCTTAGACTTAGTTTGCCTACCGGATGAGCAAGGAGAAATCAAGCTCTGACAGATTTTTTTTTTTCATGTTTATAGATCGCCCGAAGATTACAGGGTCGGTTGGCTCTAGCACAGTTTAAGACGAAGCACGGATGGGAGGACTTGACACTCGATACGATCGAGCCCAAAATCGAAGAGGAGATTCGACGTAGACGCCTCGTCGACGGCGATGTACTCTCCGACTCCTCGTCCAGCACATCGGAACTGCCTTACCCTAGCAGCAGAACTACCCTCATGAGCTCCCCGCTCAAAGCCCCTCTCTTTTCAGATGCCATTGGATCCAGCAACGGCAGCACTGGTCATCGAAAACGCACATACAACATGGCTTCGTTTGATATAACCATGTCGAGTCCAACCAAGCGATTTCGTACCTCGCCTACCGCATACAAATCTTTCGAGTCCCCACATAGATCATGGAAAGCACATCGTCAACTAACCCAGTCTTCTCCTATCAAGCCACGAAGGCAACAGCACTTTACAACTTCTACGGGGCCTGATGTGTCGTTTTTCCAGGGCTCCCGCCGCCCCTCAGTGGATTTTACTGCACAAAATTTTGCTGCACATTCAGACGATGACGACGACTTATTACCCACACATTCATTTATGGTTAACCACGGCCATGTCCATGGCCATGACCACAATCGGACATCGCCCCCTCGAACACCGCCTATGCGTAGTAGATCGATAAATCGCCGAAATAAGGATAGGGGTATGGGAAACGGTGAGAAGCCGGAAGAAGGCGCAGATCTGTTGCTATATCTGGCAGCATCTCCCTCACCGGCAGTACATTCGACGAAGACTCGAATGGAGCCTCCCTCTACGCCACCTCAGAAGAAAGACCTCGCATTGCCGTCTTCGATGATGACAACCCCTGGAGGTGGTACGCTCTTCCCCACAACACCAGGCCAACCCTTTGACATGTCAGATTTTGTCAATATCACACCCAGCCCTGCGCAGAAGCCGTGGAAGACACCGCTGTCGCTTAAGACGCCTACGGCGAAGACGCCACTAAGCGGGGCAAGACGACGATTAACGTTTGATGACCCAGCACTTGGGCTATAAAGCTGCCTCAGCTAGATATGCCTAATCACTTGCAATTTACGTCGGGATAAATATGTACCTACGAACGACGCTACATTCCCTTTTTCACTTCTACATCTACACCTTTTTTTTTCTCACCTTGATGTGCACACGCACACATGACAATACCCGGCTTTCGCCATGATCACTTAGTATGTTTCCCAAGAGGTATGGATGGGCGGACAGCAAGGGCTGGTATGCTTGTACAACACATACAGGACACGGACTACGTTTTTTTCTTCTCATACTGCCGTCTTTTAATCCCGAGGTCAGCAACGTGGCATGCGCGGAGTCTATTGGTCACGGCACCCATTGTTTTCGGTAATGCTTCGCACGATATTGCGCTTCACACCCCACCCCGCGTATGGGTATTTTGTTGTTGTTGTTTTTTCTTCTCCCGCGAGATAAGGGAAGCTATTACGCATGCGTAGTTTTCGACGATAGTTTGATGGTAGGGTATGGATGGGCGGTACGGAAGGACGGACTAACGGACAAACGAAACTACGTAGCAAGCTAGTGTAGTGTGGTATAGCTCACTCACAGTCAGACAGACAGACAGACAGACAAATAAACAAATAATGCGAGTCTTTTTGTTTCTGCAAATCCGATCCGGGGCAAGTAAACAAAACAAGAGCAGTAGCCGGTTGATTGATTGAGTAATTGGCCATTGAAAGTGAAAAACATGGACCAATTGGTTCCATTGCAGTAGTGCTAACGAATTGATCGAGTCATGTAGGTTAGGAGGTAGGTATGTGATGTTATGGAAGGGATGCATGTGACAGCAATACGATGCCTTTTTTGTACGGAGCAGACGCGTCCAGGATCTGCATGGGACGCGTAGTGGTTTAATTGCGCGGCGGGAATTTTCGCGATTTCGCGTTTTTTTGGCGTAATGGAGGGGAGGTCGGACCAATGAGATTGGGGGTTAGGATGAGGAGGGTGTACATTGGGAGTTCCAAGTGGTGTGGTGGGGTAAGTTCAATAGATGGGATGGATGGATGGATGGATGGATGGAGGTGTAAGTATAGGTATAGATGTGTGGTGGGAGATGGAGAGCGGGGTATGTATTTTGGTAGTGGAAGGCTACCTAGGTAGTTATAGGGTTGCTTTGAGTTGGGAATTCTCCGTTTGAGATGGAGAAGTCCATACCTAAGGTGTTTATTGTTTTTCTATGTAGCTTGGAAGGTCTGAGACTTACTTGATTGTGTTGTAGGTGATGTACTTATATATGCAAAGTAGGTACATAAGGTAACTTATAGATTTACGTTAGTTATGTAGTTTATAAGTACCTGGGCAGTTGATAAAGATGTCGAAAGCTTGATATATGTACGTAGATTATTACCTAGGTTAAGGTAGTTATTAATAGAAAGTAGCTACCTGTCTTTATAGTTAGTTAGTTACTGTACTTAACTAGATAAATGTATATAACTAGGTATGTAACTAGTAATGAACTAATACTAGTAGTTATATACTAGTAGTCAGTTATATATAATCCGTATCAATGTATAGGTATAAAGAGAGCAGTAGTTAATAAAAACTTAAGGCCTTCAATATAACTAATCCTTTTCGACAAGTAATAACATGTACTTAATAAACTTGGTCACATTAATAATAGGTAAGTGCATACCCCTTATGTCTACACATGTGTTATATAATATCGACCCATAAGGTCTTTAAGGGGGGTTGATGAAAAGCTCTTCAACTTATCACTAACAGGCAATAAAGGACCAAATATTGAAACAGCTCTAAATTATCTAGTTCACCATCTCTGATACCTGATACCGCCTACTAGAAGCAGAACTAATATACTATTGTCATGTAGCATCCTATACTTATGTTGAAATATCTATGTTACTAATCTCGCCCTTCCACCTACTGCAACAGCAGAAGCAACCCCTCATTACGTAGCAGCATCCTGAAGCCAAGCGTCTAAATGTCAAAAACTTTTGATTCGACTACGCTATATCCCCATCGACACAATATACGTACTCCATCCAACTAGCTACATATATCGAGCCGTGCGCGTAGGCCTCGTGCTAATGTACACTCATCATTTGATTCCCTCGCTTGGGTATATGGGACGGGGAACACGGATCCCCATATCGATCAGCAATAACAAAAAAGGAACAGTCTCTCTCTCTCTCTCTATGGGGGTTAAGTAGGGAACACGTTGTTTCCTTCTCCCTTCCCTATGGTATCATAAGTGAGTGTGTGGTTGCTGGGTATCATGGATCCCAACAGGAAAAAAAGAGCAATGCACCGTCAAACTCCAAGCTACCCTTTTCGATAACTATGCTGTACAATCAAGCTGCAATGCTTGCTTCATGCCTCATCATCTAACCCTTTCCCCTCTCTATGCTATACGCTACATTTACTGCGTTTCATTGTTTTAAGTGTAGGTGTAGGTATGCTATAGGGCCTTGCCTACGCTACCCTGGCTCTTGCCGCTTTGTCTGTCGGAATTCCGTCGCTCTGGTTGGCTACCAGGACTTAGTGTGTATCGCCCAACTACCGGACCAATATCTGGCCCCGGATCGCTCCAGTCCATGGTGCTTACGCCGCTCGAGTATTTCGACGTGAAGCTTGCATTCCTCACATGGGCTTGCTGCGGAGCATGAGGTACACTCCCGAAATTAGTGCTACTGCGACTGGTTCTGCTGCCCCATCCCGCGGTAGCGTCCATGCTAGAGTTGGCGCTCCGTAGAAAATCCGGGCGATCTAAATCAAACGGGTCGGAGCGGAACCTGTTGCGTCGAGTGCCGACGGTGCCGACGCTCGTGCGGTAGCTAGCGTTACTCGTCTGGCGGCTGATGCTACCATTTACGCTGTGGCTGTGGGAGTGTCGGGAATGTTGCACGTATGTTGCGACCCCTCCATTTACGACACCCGACGGGGCCCCGATAGCATGAGAATCCGAAAATGGGTTATTGGCCGCGGAAACTACCAGAGGCGTAGCCTTGGCCGTATTGTTGCCTATGGCGTTTACATCGGAAAAGGGGTCAGCCGAATCGAAATCTAATCCTAGGCCACTGAGGAAATGGTGCTCGTTGCTCACGGATGTTGAGCGACGCCGATTGCCGTTTACACCACTTCCTTGGGCCTTTTCTAATTCTCGCCCGGGTTGTAAACCAAGTGGAGGCCCATCGTTCTTCGACTCGCGACGTAGTTTCCAGTTAGAATTCTCATCCTCCGTTAACCGGCCCCACCAATCTACGGGACGGTCCTTGCTAGTTGGTGGTTTTGTGTTCGAATTGTTTCGGCTGTGTGCTGGCTTGGGTAGACCAAATTGGGAATTCCCGCGGTCAAGGTTAACGCTTGGGCTCGGACTACTGCTACGCGTCACAATGTTGCCAACCCGTCCACGCAGTCTTCTATATATACCCTCGACGGTCGCCCAGAGCTTCTCGGGGAGTGGTGTTGGACCCAAAGACGTCCGGCTTATGAGATAAGGTCTCTTCTCGTCGCGGAATGTTGCCCTCGGGGACATAGGCGACAACATGCTATTCCTCCGTTCTTGCTTCCTCTTCCGCCAGAACCAAATGATGAATACTAGAAACGAAATTGCCATGACTCCGCCAGCTATCCCAGCAGCTATGGCTATCGTCTGCCCCGTAGTCATAGCACTGCTAGTTGCTGCCTTTTGGGTACTTGGCAACTCTGTCCCTCTTATCCCCGTCTCTGCCGAGGAACTAGAAGCCTGCGTTATCCCTATCGTCGGTAATGAAATATTTTCAACAGAACTGGTTAATGGGGAAGAGTCTACCGGCTGTTCAAATAATGAGGATGTCGGTTGTACAGGATTATCATCCTGCCCCGCTGAACTTGACACTTGCGCATCTGGTTGAGTAGGGAACGGAGTAGAAGCCGTGTCGATAAGGAGAGCAGTTGAAGAAGAGGCTTCATCAGTGCCGGTTATGGCTGGCGCGGGAAGCGCTGTTGGAATAGCCGAGTCTGAGTCTGCTGACGGCTGCGCTTCTATGGTGCTTGTTGAGCTTGGGAATATTTCCGGAGGGAGGAGAGTTTCCTCTTGGGCCGGGTTCGCAATTGCGGGTGGAGCATTGAACGCAGTCGAACTAGATATGGAAGATGATGACGAAGATGAAGTTAAATTTGAAGATGAAGTTGAAGTTGAAGTTAAAGTTGAACTCGATGAAGATGTTTCCAATGACGACGTCGATGTCGATGTCGATGCCGATGTCGAACTAAAAACTGCTTCGATATGTACTAATTTCGGCACTGCCGTACACCTCCTGCCCTGACGAGTCGTAATGGACGCCATGATCGTGAACAATGAACAGGCGATACCAGTCGCAAACCGAACACGAAATAATTAGCGCCGCCCTGGGCAAATGAAGTATAGATAAAACGAGGTTGTGAGAATGAGAATGAGAATGAGAATGAGAAAAAGACGGCCGGAGCGGCCGGGCTACGATGATCAGATCATCAATAACGGGTTGTAAAGAATAGGAAAATCCCGTCTTTTCCCCTAGGGAAAACAGAGGGAATTTGGGTTAAACGCTCTACGTAATAGTGATATCTGAGAATGAAGTTCGGGAAGAAAAGCACCACGGCTTGTCGGAAGAAAGCGAGAGAATAGCAAGATAGATGGGACTAAGGCTCGCCAAACGACCAGGTCGCTGAGAATACTACTATGGTATGGCCCCCTGGGTTTTTACCTCCTCCGAGAGAACCACCTCGAGGACGTGCACTGCTCCGGTGCTAAGGTCTGTTGCAAAAGTCATGGTCGTGTACCTATATGGGATGTTTGGTGGTACCTAATACCTAGGTAAGGATATAGGGGGACGAGATTGGCTGATGTCGCCGTTGAAGAAACAAAGACGGTGGATATCGGTTGGACAAGTTAGACGAGTTAGACAAGTTAGACAGGGGTAACCGCCAAAGCGCCGTGTGAAGGCTCCAATAAGTCGTTTAAGGAGAGTTGATAGCCTCAGAATTCCCTCTTGCGGATGTGGGGTAAAACGCTTGAACCCCTGACTTGTAACAAATCTGAAGCAGCGAGCGGCGAGGGGTTCTTGGGAGGGGGGGGTTTACCCTTCAGCCGCATCGATAAGCCACACCATATGTATATCATAATATCATGTAATCTTGTAATCTTGTAATCTCGTAATCTCGTAATCTCGTAATCTTGTACCTATGTCCCTATTTGCAAAGTGTTAGTAAACTTCGAACAAATATTAAGGGTTTGCTTAACATTATTTTTGTACATTATGTTAATAACGACTTAGATATATTAATACTGGTGGAGGTTGAGGACCTGTTTCATCTCATCGATAATAAACCAGGTACCAGTATATTTACCGATTAAGAGATAGGTATCCATACATGTGGACATCCGGGGCCGGAGGCGAATGGGCTTGGCACGGGTTGAATTGTGTTGGATTGTTAGGGAGTTACAGTGTTTAAACACTAGTGAACCGTGGGCAAGATAGAATTATCCTCCTCTGTTTGTTTGAGAAGCCGGTTAGAAAGAAGAAGAAAACGTATCGAACGATTCCGAGTTTCAAGGTAAGTATGATGATAGGTATGGTCAAGTCCCGACAAACGAGTAGCAAGATCGGATCTGATGTCTGCCGAAGGGGTATTATTCTATGCATATAATCCACTTATACGACCCGATCTACTGAGTATCAAACTTGATGGATTGCTGTTTGCCGACGTCGAGGTCGACATGTGTATAATTGATCGGTATATAATCTGTATATAATCAAGTCTTGACTTCCACTTCCATGCATACGGCATTCTCTCGTTTGCGCGGTATGTAATGAGAAGGGATAAGCTGGGTCCACTTCAATTACCTAGAACAACCAACGAAAAAGTTGATACCTACATACATGTACATACCCCAAATTATTGACCTTACCTAATAGAACTACATACAGATAACCAGCCAATAAGAATCCACATCGGTTGTCGGCCGTTGGTAGTATACTTATTACTATGTATCTACATAGGTATTAATTGACTTGCTCCAACCATCTCGGTGCATGTCGGGAAGCTACAGTTGCTACCTATGTACAAAGCACATGCTCAATTTACATAAGTCAAAATGTAACATTGGAAAAGCCAAAAACCTTGGAAGCTACCTACCTTCTATGCAAGCTATGCAGCTATGCAAGTAAATAAAAATGCACAGACCAGAGTTGACTAAGAAAATGTTCAAGTCAGGTAATTTAGAATTTACAGCAAAAACCAAAACCAAAACCAAACTGCCCAAACTCCGCGCTCTAAATCTCAACCGATTACAACAGGGTCTTTCCCATCATGTCTTTCCGGCTCTAGTAAGCGTCTCACGAGCAACCACACCTTTCTCGATTGAGGTCCTTTTCGGGAAACCTGTCGTGAACTTAGCGGAACTTAGCTCCATTAGTTTTAGTTCTTAGGTCCGAATAACATCTGAAACAATCACATCGATTGATTGACTGGCCAAGCTACCGCCATCTTTGGAGCGTTGTGTCACCCATAAGCATCGTTTGCAAGGCACCCTCTAGGACTCTTCCCCCTACTGGACCTCCCCTACTGGGCCTCCCCTATTGAACCTCTTACTGGAACCGTGTACGTACTATTGCCACTATACTTCACCGTGTGCACGCCTACCTCTATACCTACCTAGGTATCTAACTCTATATACGACAGCCTGTTCAAAAATGTTGGGCTCGATAGTCAGTTTCGGTAAGTCTACCTCTTTTAGAGTCTACTTTTCTCATTTGTTATCGTGAAGCATGCTGTGGAACCAGCTGAGATACAATGTATATGCAGCCAGCAATGCATTTTAAATTGTAAGCTGAAATTGTTGTATGAGTATTCTCTCTTGATAATTGACTTACGAAATTTCGTCTTGAAGAAAAATAATTTTTTTTTTTTTAAAAAAAAAAAAAAAAAAAAAGATTGAAGAAACAAAATCTTCTTCCATCTCATCATATCTCTGTTCATCATCTCATCTATTTATTAGTGCCAAACGCGCACGAAATCGGTCCGCCACCTAAGGACGTTCCGCCAGCTACTCCTATCAGATTACCACAGTACAAGCCTCAATCATCTGACGCAACTTCTCACCCATCCCTTGTCCGTTTTCTGCAACAGCTGCAGCGTCCTAATGAGCTTAACGAGTCTCACTTCGCCGCTCTTGGCGTTCAGTTACATTCTGATGCCCCGCCCGAGGATATTGTTCCGGACCCGTCCTTCTTGCCCATAGCCTCCGAATGGGTCGACATCGACTTAGACGAGGCCCGGCGTAGGGATCCAACTTTCCGGCGCCCTTTATCTAATGGAAGGCTTTCTCCTGAAGCCCGTGTCTTCATGGACCGCCGTACTGAGCTTTCTATACCAAATCAGGCCGCTTTTCGGACCATCCGTCGTATCAAGCCTGAACCAGGGACTCAAGCGCCGCGGCTCGGGAATTGCTATGAGTTCTTCAGGCAGATGGAGTTGATGGCGCAGTACTGGGATGACACCTCCTTACCGCCACTCTCAACTGATAGTCAAGACGAGTCATCACCTACCGACCCAAACTCCGAGCCACCAGCTACTGCTGCTTCGTCCGAGAACTCGGAAATCAAGCCCAAGACCCCTGAGCGAGTTACTTACCGCACTAATAGCGGCTCTAGCATGCCGGCCGAATTCCGCCACAACTTAATCTCGTCTTTCGTCAAACTTGTAGCCTACGACTTCGGCTGCAATGTAGTCCCGCCGAGAGTCGAGCCTCGTTTACAGTTGTTTTCGCCTCCGTGTAAAGTGGTTTCGAAATCAAAGGTGCGATACTACCCTCAAGTAGCATCTTACTTTCCATCCGGATGCGTGTTTCTGTGTAAGGCGCCCATGACCCGCGAAGCTGCTCGTGCGGGTATCGTCGAAGGCCCCATAGCAGCGGTGTCGGCGCGTAACACGACCAATTTCCCCACTTCGGCGGAGGCAAATTTAGATTTCGGGCGGGAGCTTGTCGCGGCGCTGATTACCGCACAACACCGTTCCCGCGAAGGTCAGCCCGAAAAGCGGTTCGGGGAGGGTAAATGGTGGGCCACGGAGAAGCGCTGGGGTGGAGGCGAAGGTGGTCCCATAGGACGGGAGATCGACGGCGACTCCATCGTAGGCGACAAGGATTCCACCAGATCCAATCCCGAGGAGTTGGAAGGTGTGAAGCCGGTGCCAGTGCCAGAAACTACTGGCGCTACCAGAGAGATAAAAGTAGGGGGCAAGACGGTGCTCATCCCCGTGCGCGGGCAGCCCGTGAACAAGAAGCCGCGTAAGAACCTCAGCATCTACGATAGCTACCGCATGGTGCGACTACCGTCTTCGAACTGGGACAAAAAGACCAAGTACACAGCCGTCGGTAAGATTAAGGGCGTCGACTTCGACGACGTATTCGTGCTCAGCAGCCTGTACCACCACATGTGCGTGATTCGCGTGCGCGTGCCTAATCGCCTGCTCGAGGTGTTCTCTGGCGCGCCGGACGGGAATGTCAAAGTTGAAGCGGGAGGGGGGAAGTCAAAGAGCTGGGGCAAGCTAGAGGCGTGGCGCAGCAACTGGTACGACTTATTCATCATCGAAGAGCGGCTCGAGGCCATGCGCCTACTCTGGGGGATGATGGGATGGGTTATGCGCACAGAAGATGAAAGCGGAAGCGCAAACGCGGGCGAGGACGTCGTCATGAAGAATGCTTAAAGGTCTACTCTAGTCGAGTTTAGACTTACTCTGGATTAACTACTCGAGCGCCATCCTAGGTATGGGAGTCACAAGCTCGAGTTACGAAGGCAGTTACTTCTTATTGGATCTAGAGTATGCGGCGGCTAGGATGTCTAGCGCCCGTCTGATAGACATGAATGAAGCATATGACGAATAGTAATAGTATGAAAGCTACGTTCCTTTATTTTACCTCTATTTAGCCCATCCCCGGCTCGTTCTTAAGCAGGGATACTGCGTACCATCAAAGCCTTAGCCTTCTTTATAGAGCATAGTTAGTTAATAGTTATCTACCAATGTAGGTACTGATATGAACATCTGGTGTTGTTAGTAAAAAGTATAGTTAGGTAACCTAGACAATTCGATATGTTAACTATTAATTTCTGCAATCTTACACCGCCAATACGTGCAATAGTTGATGAGCAAGTATACACTTGCATATCTGACGTGAAATGTAAACCCAGTTACCTTGGGTACCTAACCTAGGTACCTATATAGGTAGGTAACGAACAAATCTGTAACTTAGGCTTTCGCGTTGGTATAAGTGATATCGGGCAGCATGTAAGCAAGCATACCTAGGTACACATACATATATTATAGTTACCTCGCCTATGTATGTATGTATGTATGCACTTGATATGCGCAGCCTGGTCATTTGCTTGGTCAAATTTATACGTGTATACTACCTACAAAGAAAAACCAAGATAACTACCTAACTAATGGACGTGTAGAGTTTGGTCAAATGTGTCGGTGTATAAGACGCTGACCGCCTCCCGTCATCCGCAGCGTGTATGTAATCCGCTTAGCTAACTACCCGTGTTGCATTTACATGTAATGTCTCAGGTACGCAGGTAGGTGGTGTATATTTTACCTGCTTATTACGCACATAATGTTCTGACATACACACATACACACACGTATATTAGGTACATACGTGTTGTGTTGTAGTTGTGAGAATTAGGGGGGAGGAAGAGTAGCGGTAAGGGGCTGGGGGAGGGGGAAGTATGTGCCGATGTGTTTTATTTCTTTGAATACTTAGGTAGCTACCTATGATTAATAAATACGTAGGTGACTTTTGTGTATGTCGGTATGTATACCTTGGGCATGCAATGGTTGTATTAATGAGTACCTGAAGTTCTCGGTAGGTAGGCCGGTAGTAGTCAACGGACCCAAGAGGTCGAAGGGGCCGGAACCTTTGACGCAAGAAACGGGTGTATTAATATGCCAGGGGCACTGCAAACGAGATTAATAATTCGTCGGTTTGACTAGGTTAGGTAGTATTATTTTATTATGAGACAATGATACGTGCTTCAACGGTTTCGGTGAACTGGTATACTTCGGTTATCAAGCAAGCCTATTTCGACAGCAGGGAGTTGTCGACTATTGTAGCCTTCCGAATCAAAAACATAGTTGTGTACATAGTTGTTCAGTGACATCTTTAATATGATATGCTGGTTCTGTCTTCACGGTCATCCTTTACATTTGCCTTCACGAAACACCAGACTGCATACGGCGCATTATATACGTCTAGACACGCGTGTATGCACATCCGGCTCCGCAGAGTAGATGCCGCGGGAGGTATCACAGCCCCCAATATTAGCTCTTACATGTCTGCTACCACCTGCTCTGTATTACGAGTCAGCTAGCCCTCCTAGGTAACCGAAATAAGGTAACCGAAATAAGGTAGCCGAGGTGAAGTAGCCGGCGATTAAGCGACAGAGGTGAGAATTGAGTTATGAGAATGGCTTCAGTCGTTCCTATAGGCCTGATAGCAAGCACACTAAGCAGGCTTCGCTTAGCGATATCGAAGAGCTCGGCTAGCTATTCGGTAGAATAGTCGTAGCAACGCACGACTCAGACGCGCTGCTAGGCGGGTGCTTTGGCTCGCTCTTCGATATCATTGATCCAAATGCGAGCGGCTTAATGAAACGTTCGGCTATAAATACACGGCAACGTCGGCGCTAATCCATCCCCAGGTTTTATCGAATAGTGCGTCTGCAATGCGGAGTTTTGCCGCCAGCCTTGGGACACGCATACGTCGCGTTCTGAGTGGCGATGCTGCCTCCTTTCGAGTAGCGTCCGTCTTAATCCTTGATATGATACTCTGGCCTGTATGTATGCTGTGTATGTTATCTCGTGTCGGTACGAGATATTGCGAATCTAGTTCGCAATAGTTCTATGATCATCTTAACTTTACCTTTGGCTGCCTCACTAGCAGACGATTCGGATCACAAATTCGACGTAGTCAGATGGACGACCACGGACCATGGACCACGAACCACTTCAACGCAAACCGAGGCCTAACGTGAGACATGCAGACCTTGGCGTAGATTGGGTCTCAGATGAATTCGACGTCGTTGATCTAACGTCCTCGGAATCCTCGGAATCACGGGAGGCCCCGTAACTCCACGCTTCACGGCCCATAGCCTAGCGCTGATTAGACAGGTTTGAGTCGAACACGTTGAAAGGGCTTGGGCTAGTATCTAAGGTACGTAGCGAGGGAGATACAACGTTGCTTTCACATAGAAGAGTCTTTCTCTACCAATGAGATAGAAACTTCTTGGGCTGATATGTAAACAGCTTTAAAAGGAAGATGAGGCTCGAAATATGTAACTCGGAGCTAAAGATAGCTACAGCAGCTGTATCGCCTCAATCGCCTCGTTTTGGTAGCTGAGCCGCCTTAAGCTAAGGTAGGGCGACGGCTTCAACCTATGGGGAAGGTAAAAATAAAAAAATAAAAAATAAAAGGAAGAAAAAGAGAAAAGATCGAAAAGGTATAGCGTAAGACCCTTCGTGCGGTATTGTCAAGCTGAAGCGCGCTTGAGTCAGTGTGAATTAGAGTAAAAAGTGTTGTTATCCCGACGCACAACTAATCGATATAGTATTAGCATAGCCTCTAAGAGGGTTACATGCAGCAACTCCCGGCGGTAAATAGCTGCATGCGTGTGCGTGGGCGTGGGTGAGGTGGCTGGATGGCTGGATGGCTGGATGGCACACGCTACACGCTGTACTTCGTATGTATCTTGGCTTGAACACAGACAACACGTATCAGACCGTTGATTCGCAGAGACAAAATAGGCATGGCGGTATGATGGCTATCAAGATAGGGCTGGTACATATTTCCTGGTCCATGCTGTCCCGAAAATTTTTGGACCTTGCAGACGGTATTGCGGCTGTGCTGCTCGGCTTCACCTCGATTGGTTCCTCCACACATTCTTTCATCCCAAGGACCTGGGAAGTGTCTAGGGACGATGCATGTGGCGTCTGTATGTATGAAAGATGAGACGAAATTCTCTGACGTCTTGACACCCTGACACCTTGACACCTTGTACTCGAACATTGTGCCTGGATGATGTATGATGTATGACGATGATCCCGTTTAGTATTGTTTAACATTGTGTAATAGGAAACAAAACTTCAATGTTCGGTTCGGTGATTGTGTACGTAAACTGTCTTTGATTCCGTTGGTTACCTCCAAGTCGCTGGTTACCTCGGAGATCCCCGTTACTGTTAACTTGTTACCAAGACTTTTACATAACTACGAGTAAAAGCAGTCTTCCAAAATCAAAATCAAGACCGAGAATCATTCTGAATATCCGCGGAAGTGAATTGTCGACGGATGCATCTCCGGTAGAAATTCGGACATGACAACATTTTTACGTTGAAGTCATAGCCGCATAGCCACGATGATTTTGCAGTTGTTTGCATTTGTTTGCATTTGTTTGCATTTGTTTGCATTTGTTTGCATTTGTTTGCATTTGTTTGCATTAGCTACGTTGTAGTAGAGATATGCAGGCTAGGTCTGGGCTAGGTAGGTAACGCATGCGTGGTGTAAGGAAGCGAAACTCGGTCCAGATAACCGTCTAATAAGATCCCCACGTATTGCAGAATCTGCAGTGCCCATGCATTTTGCAGGTGCATTTTTCATTTTTAATGCATATGGCAGCCACACTAGGAAAGTATAGGCGTAAAGCATAGTCGTAAAGTCTAGGCGCGGTTAAACTCTGGCCGGAGAAGCAAGTTTGGACCTGCTGCACGTCAGCCACCACGTTCGGGTATCCCGAATATGTAATTGTTGCGTACCTAGGTAGGTCCATACCTACCTATCTTAAAATCGAGGTCGGCTTGAAAGGTCCGGATAATTCATAATTCCCTTGCCGTTCCGCATTCCTTAGGTACCTAGGTGGTATGTACATAATAACATACATAGGTCCAGGTCCATCCATCATACCAAGATATATACATGTACAAGGTAGTTAGGTACATACTAATGTATTGTACCTAAATCTTCATGCACGCAACCTATGTCCACATATATTAACTTTCGAGGCGGCTTACGGCGTCCGACGCCGGGAACATAGAACTCGCTTAATGTTTTGATATATACCCAACTTAACCCAACCTACACTAATATGTAATATGCAACGCGGCTGATGGACTTTAGTAATATGACGGACATACTGCCATATAACGCCATACAACTCCATACAAGACGGATTTCGCCGGTGAAGAGCTTGGTGTATAGTCCCGAACTGAATAAAGACATAATTGTAACTGGATTTATGACAAATGTATAACTAGAATAGTGAATGTTTGGTAGTTGGTAATTATTTGGTAATTGGTATTTGGTAATTGGTATTTGGTAATTGGTATTTGGTAATTGGTATTTGGTAATTGGTATTTGGTATTTGAGCTTATTAGGTCGCCGATCGGGCTTGCGGTAACAAGGCAGTCCAAGATTCTCATTCGCCCGAAGAAGATGCTGTAGAGAAATTGCGTTGTAACAGCACTGACGTGTTCCACCGTACCGAGCGAGTTTAAGAGCCGCAAAGGCTATAGTTGCTATGTTAATGCCTAGACGCATTGCCCAAGCATATCCTATTATATAGCGGAAAACGGCGATGCAATCTTGGACTATCTTCAGCTCCGAGCTTGAACGTCGAGGATTATCTTCACCTGATGGCCTATAAGTGTCGATCATATAGCAGATATCAAGGGGGGTTTCTACGGTGCTGAATAGTAGATGGGTACTACGTAAAAAGAAATGTTTAATTCTTGATGAAATCCTTGGTGCTGTGTATCCATTGTTAGACTATTGGATTTTGTTGGTTATGATGTTGGTTAGAAGGAGACGGCACGGAACGATTCTCGCACGGAACCTACGAAGGTACGAAGATGCTGTGGATGGAGCTATGAAGAAAAAAAAAGATAAGCTGCTGTTCAATCGCCGAATTGCTTTTTTCCTGTCTATTCGGTTTCTGTTTGTTCTTGCGAACCCCTGTGATAGCCTATTTAGGGTTAGATCTTACGATTATATGTACTACATATATGCAAGTATATTAATATGATGTATTTCCATGTGGCTAGACCCCTCTAAAAGATGGACCTATCCTATCCCAGCTTGATGACGATAGCTTATTACTCCTTACGGTTACTTGGCTATTACCTACTATGTAGTTAGGTACATAACTTAATACTACCTACCTAGGTAGGTACATCTCTTTGCTATATACAACCTTATACGCAGCTACGGCATACGGCACAGAAGTTTAAACAAGGCCAACACCTAACGACCAAGAGAACCCCACACTTATCGGCGTGTCGGAATTAGAACAAGCGCCAAAGTTTCTCTATGTAAACAGTCTAAAGCTACTATGTAAACTGTCAAAACCACTAAATCAAGCCAAAAGCTTCCAGGCCATGACCGCAACTTCGTTATCCTACCTATGGTCCATATCCTTATCTATTAAGCTCCGCACATCTTTAGGGTCGCTTTCGTCCGTCTCCTTGTTGCATCCAAGACCCAACTTTTTCTCAAGCCCACGCCATTCCACGCTACTACATACACATCTAACCTACGCTTCTACCTTCCCCTGCCTCTCTCTCTCTCTTACACGGTTACTCGGGAAGGTTACTTGGAAGACTTACCGTCTGCGACATGTCCGATTATTTGATTATTTGATATATATGGTATATTTTTGGAGAATATTAAGCTAGACCCCTGCTTGCTGCTTGCTGCTTGCAGGTGAGTGTGTCTGTGCGATGCGCATTTAGCTTGCTTGGTTAAGATCCCCTGCGCCGCAACGCTTGACCGCTGTGCTGGTATTTTCTTTCCCTTGTCCCTTGCTTGTATACATTTATAACCCAACTTGGAAATTCTTGGCGTTATAATTCTTTTCGACTTTTCGAACTAAAAAAAAAAAAAAAAAAAAAAAAAGAGGTCAAGGTAGTAGTAAACTAGTAACCTAGTTGCATGGGGCTGCGCTTACATCCATAATAGATACATGACTAGGATACTTTATACTTTCTACCTTCTACCTTCTACTTTCTACATTCTACATTCTACACTAACCAGCTCCGATCAATATATACATCATACCCGTCATCCACACGCGAGACCATATACAAACGATATAACATCGTGAACATCTCCCGTTCCTCTCCCCAACGAGCTTTTAAGTCTTGCCTATAAGAACCTAACCTACTACCTTGTCTACCCCCTCCGACGGCAAAATCCTTCCCCCGCCTATAATCGCCTATATACCCTCACCCCCCACGAGTTCATATCACGAATTCTTACTACGAACCTAGCCTACCAACCCGCAACTCGCTCGCTCGTGTCGCCAACTACTCGACCCAACATCACGGATAGTACACACAGCTTAACTTAGCTTTTTGATATGCCAGGTTACGGTTACCCGGGCGGATACGGTCCGCCGCAGCAACAGTATCACGGCAATTATTATCAACCGTATGATAGCTCAGCTCACCAATTTCTCATATCCTACGGTCACGAGCATCGCGACGGCTGCTGACATGGCCCTAGTCCACCCCAGCCATATAACGGATATCCTCCTGCCCAAGGAGTTCCTCCAGTCCCCTACGGATACCCACAACAACCGCCACCACCACAACAACAACAACCCCCTCCTCAACCTTACGGATACAACCAGGTGAATTTATATATTATATGAGTTACCGGCTGGTCTAGAGCTCCGCGCTGACATGGCATCGTTAGGGCCCACCGCAACATGGCGGCTACGGCCAACCTCCGAGTCAATACGGTAGACCTGGTAAGACAGCTCCGGAGCTTCCCTTTCTTAGGTGTGAGTTTAACAAAGAGGTTTAGCACTGCCTACGGCGAATTCGAACTCCTACAACCATGGAAATTATAGCGCACCTCCTCCCCCGCCCTCCGGACCCCAACATTTCGGTGACGGCGCTCCTCACAACTACGCGTTTCAGTATAGTAACTGTACCGGTCGAAGGAAAGCTCTACTAGTTGGTATAAACTACTTTGGCCAGCGTGGTCAACTTCGGGGGTGTATCAATGATGTCAGAAACATGTCGCAATACCTTGTTGAGCACTTTGGCTATAAGCGAGAAGATATGGTCATTCTTACTGATGACCAACAAAACCCAATGAGCCAGCCGTCAAAGCAAAACATTCTACGAGCCATGCATTGGCTCGTGAAGGATGCGCGGCCCAATGACTCGCTATTCTTCCACTATTCGGGTATGATGACGCTCGGGTTAGTTGTGTGGTGATATCTAATAGTTTCTTAGGACATGGCGGTCAAACCAAGGATCTGGATGGCGACGAACCCGATGGCTACGATGAAGTTATATACCCTGTTGATTTCCGGCACACTGGTCATATTACCGACGACGAGATGCACCGTATCATGGTTAAGCCGCTGCAATCGGGAGTCCGGTTAACGGCCATTTTCGATTCATGCCATTCCGGTACCGCGCTCGACCTCCCGTATATTTACTCCACCCAAGGTATTCTCAAGGAACCAAACTTGGCCAAGGAAGCTGGCCAGGGCCTTCTGGGTGTCATATCTTCCTACAGTCAAGGCGATCTTGGAGGCGTTGCGAACAACATTATGGGCTTCTTCAAAAAGGCCACCAGCGGAGAGGACGCGCACCACAGGGCCATGGCGACCAAGACCTCGGCAGCAGACGTTATTATGCTTTCCGGAAGCAAAGATGACCAAACTTCGTTCGTCTACCACTTTATTTAGATTATCCCTTCTTTTTGTTTTGCAATTGATGGGCGATATGTCATGAAATTGCCTAGTGGCATGGAATATGTACACTTTATCATGTATTTTTTTAATGACGGCTTGGTTGCTGGTGGGGGATATGAGACTTATACATTGGGGTCTGAGTCTAGATGAGAGGTTATTTGTATATTAGTTTTCCTTTTTCCTTTTTTTTTTGGACGCCCTAGATCAAAGTACAGCTATTAGTGCTGTAGCTTTGCATCTAGGGCGACGGGTTACGTTCGATCGGCTTAGGGGCTGAAAACGAATCCCTCTTCCTCCTCCCTTTTTATACTACCATTCTGTTATTATAGTAGTATCTAGATTACTAACTGAGCTTATAGGGCCGATGCAACAATTGCTTCTCAGGCTACCGGTGCCATGTCGTGGGCCTTTATTACCGCCCTAAAGAAGAATCCTCAGCAAAGCTATGTACAACTGCTCAACAGCATCCGGGATGAATTATCCACGCGGTACACCCAGAAACCTCAGCTCTCGTGCAGCCACCCCCTGAGTACGTCTGGATTTTTGGTCTCCTCCTTTCCCGGGCGATGACCACCGCTATCTGCTAACATACTAAACTCTTATATAGATACTAACTTGCTGTTTGTGATGTGACAAGACGGAACGGGACGTTGACGAACGTCTCCTGAGCGGACATCGAAATGAGATGAAATTATGCATGGGGGGTTTTCTGACGTGTAATTACGATTTTGTTTGCGTTGCGTTCTTCTATATACTACTACTATGTAGTTACTGCGTTCACGGTTCTGGTATAGCATTCTAGGCTCTTGGGGGAAAGGGTCGTTTCTTCTTACTCGCTCTTCATTTTTATGACATGAGGCTCTACAAAAAGAGGGAGAACTGAATTGGGTTACGTGGGTGTTCTTGGTTGCCTATCCTTTTTTTTTTTTTTTTTTTTTAATGAAGCTGCCGAAATATGTTCTATCGCCTAGGTACTTTGCTGAATTGATACCTGCGGTTGTATGCATCTCTGGGATTTATGATGTATACGATGTAGGTTGGAATTTGGGCTCAATGGTAACCTGTTTATTGAGTCGCGAAATTGTCATCTTATACGGATGACAGGGGCTCTGCGATGGGGAAGAAAGAGAATAGCTTTTACTAGCTAGCTTATAGTGGTTAAATTGACTCTAGTGGTTGGTTATTATCGGGAATAGACATAGACATAGATCCCCTTGCTACATGTATACACACAGTCTAAACAGGACTTTAAATGCTCAACGTTCTCGCCCATTATCGTACGCCGAATCTTGTCCGAGTTATATAGGTTTACTTCTTATTATGTTGGGGAGAGTACTATACATGCATACCTATAGCTACCTAGATGTATGTACTTGATATGGGTGCCTACCTACCTATGCTTACTCGTAGCGGCTGGTATATGAGGAACAGCCCCCGTTGGAAGTTATTTTTGTAAATTTTTTTTTCTTTTTTCGTGTAATAGCTAAGATGGTTATTTAGGTAGGAAGTACGACCTCTTACTGTAGAATTTATGGAGGTCGAGTGTATAGGTACACATACTCTTGATTCTCTCCTATTACTTCAGCTGATGTAGAATCGCTGAGTAGACTATATTCACAAGCATAAGAGTGTCAATATACCCCGTAGACACCAGCCCGGGCAATGTCAGTCCTCGAAGACATCTCAGGCACTACTCACAAATCACATTATAGATAAACATGCAACAGACAAGACACAAGGAACGTAAATTCCATTCCACTCATTCCACTCTGCGTCCCCTCGCTTGCTTGTAAAGCTTCACTTCCTTTTATCTAGACAGCCACTCCGTCCAAACCATCGGAAAACCAACAACACTAACCGCACGTATCATATCCTTAGAAAGGTGCCTAGGTAGGTATTCAGGACTATCCCTCCCTCCCTATGCCGTATACTTCCCCCCCTCCCCGGCTCCCTAGCCCCTATCCCAGAAAATAAATAAATAAAAAGGCAGATGATAGGTATCAACGCGCAAACGCCCAATCCATGCGTACACGGGCCATGCTAGCTAAACGTATCGTAACGTCTAGTCCAATCCCACGATAAAGAGGAACATGTATAAAATTTGGAGACAACATCAACGAAAACGGGTATAAGCCTATATCAGCTCGATCTCCTCTTCTTCTCTTCTCTTACTCTCCTCCCACGCATTAACCAGCTTCTTGCGTGTCTGCTCGTGCTGGCCCCATTGCTTAGCGCCGATCCGCATGCGCGCCACGGCGCGGAGCACGCTGGCAAAGACTTTCAGTTTGCTTGGTTCCTTCTTGGCCGATTGCTCACGTTTTCGGGACGAGAGCAGTGCGTCTGGCGATTTGATACCCAGCTGCTTGTGGATGTTCCTTAGGATGCGTAAGTCTGCCTTGTTGCTGTGGGATTGTTAGTTGTTTTATTCATTTTTAATACGGGGGCAAAGGGGTAAAAGGGGTAAATAAACTTACCAAGCCTCGGCAATCTCCAGCTGTAGTGCTACGAACTTCTTGGCGAACGCGGCGTCGTTTCGTAGCTTGGCTTCGCGCTCCCACCTTGCCTGCATCCACTGCATTTGCAATGCTAAGCCGCGGATCTCCTTGGCATGTCGTTTCTCTGCCGCGTCCGCTGCGCGGATCACGGCCTCATGGTCCCGTTGGTCGACCACGTCCATGACGATGTCGCCGTACCGGAAGCTGGCTTTCGTGCCCCTCTTGTTTATATGTGGTGTGTAAGATATAGAAGAGCCGTTGGGCTCAGAGTTCTTCGCCTCGATCCAAGCTAATGCTCCCTTTGCGCCCTCTTGCAGCCGGTCGCAGTCAGCCTGGAGCTTTTCGGCCGACGCCTTATAAGCGGCACGTTCGTTTCGTACCCGATCGAGCTTTTGGCGGAGTTCTTTGCATAGCGGGCTGACGTAGTTGAGATCCTGCTTTGCTAATTCGAGTTGCTCTCGTAACTCTTCGCACAAACGATTTGCCTTTTCCGACTCCCTGGTCGCTCGGTTCAGATCTCGCCTGAGCCCTTCAGCAACACGATTAGCCTGCTCTACTTTCTGGTCCGACTGTTTAGACTCGTGTCGAGTAGCACGTTCCGCTTGCTGCTTTAGACGTTCGCACTGGCGTTCGACGTCGCGCAGCTTTCGGCTCGCGTCTTGGAGCTGCTGTCTAAGGTCTTCAGAAATCCGATTCGCTTCTTCCAGTTGTTCCCCGAGATCCTCGGCTCTCTCTGACTGATTACGCCTCGCTAGTTCAAGCTGCCGTCTAAGATCTTGACAAACTTGGTCAGCTTCATTCAGTTTTTGGGCAGCATCTTCCGATTCCTCGTCCAGAGTAGCTTGAAGAACTTCAACCTCATCCTCTAAGGCCTCGATCTTTTCAGCCTGTGCTTGGTAGTCCAGCTGACTCTGTCGAAGGTCCTCGCGAACAGCAGCAACCTCGTTTCGTAGTGCCGTTAGAGATGATTGCCGTGTTTCTAAATCATGTCGTAGATCGTCTATCTGGCGGCTGAGTGCGGCCTCCTCACTCTTGTGGCGCTGCGCTTCGCTGTTTAAAGCGTCTTGTAGCTTCATCTCTTTGCTAGAGAGCGTGCCCTCGGCGTCGCGTAACCGATCGATAGTCCTTTCAAGTCCAGTGGCCCGTTCCTCGAGGCGATCTCTTTGCGCCTCCAGGTTACGCCTCTCGGACTCCCATTTTTCGCTGTCGTTGTTGTAGAGGTTATCCTTTTCACGAATTGCGGTGTGAAGTTGGGAAACATCATCGTTGAGGCGGTCAATTTCGGATTTGAGCTGGTTGCGAACATCCTGCTCAATCTGACGACCATGGCTCCTTTCTTGATCTAGATTGAGTTCTAGATCGCTAACTTGGCTCCGTAAACGAGTGATCTCTCGTTGTAATGAAGTAGATTCATCCCCAGAAGTGGATTGACGAACTCGAGCATTCGCCTTTTCATGATCGAGATTTGTCTCAAGTTCCTTGACGCGCTTCTGCAGACGCTCCATTTCTCGCTCCAACGACGCAGACGCAGACTGACCTCCCGTGGCTTCTCTACGGACCCGGGTGATCTCATCCTGGAGGTCGGCAATGTCGTCGTTAAGGCGGTCTACCTCTTCTTTGTGCTTCGTATTGGCTTCGTATAGATTCTGTAGGGCACGGGCCTTCTCTTGGCTTAAATCCGTCTCTAGTTCGCTTATACGTTTTTGCAATCGTGCAACTTCTCGCTCCAAAGAAGCCGAAGCTGACTGACCACCGGATGCTTCGTCACGGACTCGCTGAATCTCATCTTGAAGGTCTGCGATTTCATCGTTCAACCGGTCAACTTCTGCTTGGTGCTTGCGGTTCATATCGCGTTCAATCTGTGATCCGTGCGCCTTCTCCTGATCCAAGCTGAACTCAAGCTCGTGAACTTGCTTTTGGAGTCGTGCCATATCCCTTTGCAGAGAGGCCGATTCGTCTCCTAGAGCGTCATGACGCAGCTGTAGAAGGTTTTTCTCATCCGTGCGCATATTCAAGTCTTGCTGCGCGGCTTCTAGTTTCGACATGAGAAGTTTCCGTTCGTGGTCCCAGGACTCCCGTTGTTGTAGTAGTTGTTCAGCCCTGGATTTTATCTCTGTGCTGAACCTATCCTTCTCAGCTACACCCTGCTCAAGAGTTTCATACTTCTCCTGCCAACGGTTCACTTCGATCTGCAGGCGGGAAACCTTCTCTTCAACTTGACGAGAGAGACCTTTAGTGACGAGAGACTTGTTAGACATCTCTTCTTGGAGTTCTTCGAGGTCTGCTTCGGCTCGGTCTTTGTCTGATATTGCAACTTCAAGTTGTTCTTTCATGTCATTGAGCTGCTGCTCGAGCTGCCGGACGTCAGATTCGAGGTCTCCAATGGTGCCTCTCGCTTCGTCGAGTTCCTCGCTTGACCGGGCATTCTCCTGAAGCTCAACTACTCTTTCTTGTGCAGACTTCCATTTCTCTTCTGCCTGCCCTAGCTTCTCTTCCAAGTCGTTCAGTTCCTCGTCACGGTCGTTGATTTCCATGTCCTTTTCTCGTAAGTCTGCTTCTAAGTCGCGAATCTTGTCCTGTAATTCCTCCAACTTTCCTAGGTCCTCAGGGGATTGCGCCTGCGCTTCAAGATCGGCAACCTTGTTTTGAGCAGACCTCCATTTCTCTTCCACTTCTTCTAGCCTGTTTTTTAATCCATCCACCTCCTCTTCGCGTTCGTTAATTTCCCGGTCCTTTTCGCGTATATCCGCCTCGAGGTCGCCGATCTCGTCGTGCAACTGGTCAATTGTACCTTGATCCTTACCTCCTCTTTGCAATTGTCGTTGTAGATTCTCGATCTCTGCATCTTTGTCCTCTAGACTTCGCCGTAATGCTTCGATCTCCGCCCTCTGGTTCTGATCCGCGTATTTCTTCTTGGCCTTCTCCTGAACTTCCAATATTTGTTGCTGATAAGTCTCGAGGTCCTTTTCTGCTGCGGCCAGGTGTTTCTTGTACTTGTGAAGGTCTCTCTGCATCGTGACTTTATCGACTTTGAGTTCTGTGTTTTCCTTTAAGGCGGCCTCACTAAAACCTGGTCCAGTTTTTCTCAACGCTTCCTCGAGAAAGTGAATTTTCAGCTTCAGCCCAAAGTTTTCCTTCTCGATCCTATCGATAACGTTCTCTTGCTCCCGAAGCGACAGCTGGTTCCCATCCTGTAAGGGGCCCTTGTTTCCACCGCGTCGCGGTAATACAGCTAGTGGTGTGGATGCCGCGCTGCTGTTTTCTACCTGAGGTAGAGGCGTGGACTCGACGTAGGATTCTCCTCTCGAAGGACCATATAAGGAGGTTTCGACAGGAATGTTAGTCATGTCTATATCCTCGTTTATCCTGTTTAAGGTAGGCGTAGATACGCCATTTGTGTTTTCCTTTCCGAACCGACGTGCACTATTTCGCGTGGCGGACTTAAGCAGAGGTGTGAACTCTGCGCCTGCTATTCCAGCTGGTAGGTTTCTCTTGTCACCTAGAGGCGCGCGGTTGTTCCCACGTGGCGTTCGCAAGTTGACGCCGCGGCCATTTCGTAATTGCTGTACGAGATTGTTATCCTTAGATGGAGAATGAAAAGAGGATTCCTGTGTCATGTCGAAGTCGGGAGGTGCCCGACTTAGGTAGGTGGCATCACCTAAGTTGGTTCGGGGAGTATCCATCTCGACGGCGCGGGAGGTGGGATGAGTATAACAGTGCCGTACAAGTGGGATCGAATATCGTTATGCGTCGGCTTGCAAATTTGATTAATCATGAGACAGTAAATATAGTTAAACCAGGTATGGTATCTAGTAGGAGAGCATTTGAATTGAGGGTGGGAGTTGAATGTTGTA